CGGGTCCCGTCAGCGGCCGGTTGACATTAAAAATAAGAAAAAGAGCAGCGGGGTTGTTATCCTGATGTCATCCCAGCGATTAATTATTTAAATACATTCACTGTTAAATACATTTAAGAGTCGAGCTTTTCTGCAAAGGGCTAAAGTGATGTTAATGTCTCTAACAATATTGTAAAGTCCAGACACAAAACTTCCTTCGTAACACTCGTATCGAGGTGTTCTCTGGATCAACGTTGAGGTAGCATTATTTAATAAACTCGGGTCTGGAGAACAAGCCTTATGAGGAGCGGGTAAGGGAACTGGGGTTGTTTAGCCTGGAGAAGAGAAGGCTGAGGGGAGACCTCAGCACCACCTACAACTGCCTCAAGGGAGCTTGGAGAGAGGTGGGTGCTGGGCTCTTCTCCCAGGTGATGGGAGATAGAACAAGGGGAAACGGCACCAAGCTGTGCCAAGGGAGGTTCAGGTTAGAGATAAGGAGGAAGTTCTTTACTGAGAGGGTCGTCAGAAGCTGGCACAGGCTGCCCAGGGAGGTGGTGGAGTCACCATCCCTGGATGTGTTTAAAGAGCGGGTAGACAAGGTACTTAGGGATATGGTTTAGTGGGTAGACAGGAGCGGTTGGACGTGATGATCTCAGAGGGCTTTTCCAACCGAGCGATTCTGTGATTCTGTGTGTGATTCTGTGATTTCCTATCCTTTCTTACTAGGTCAGACTGCAAACCCAGCCTAAGCCACAGCCTGGTCAGACTCCGCTCTATTCTGGGACCTTTGACTGCTTCAGAAAGACTCTTGTTGGAGAGGTACTGTGTTAGCGTGTCGGCTGCGATGCCTGCCAAAAATATCAGTTGTTCCTGTACGTCGCAGGAATGGAATCGTGCGGGAATGTTGTGCCTTGGAGACTATACAGTTTTGGGGTTGAATTGATTCTAATTAAAATTTTTAATCACATTACAAAACTTGGGGAGTACTTAGCGTCCACGTGTGTCAGGTGCATGTCTGTTTAGTTAATAAATGCTTTTGGTTGAAAATAGCATGATATTAATACCTGAAGTTAAAGACTGGGGTGAATATTGGCAGTTATTTGCTGGCTTTGTTGTTGTAGTCAGTGGAATCTTACTGTCTTTGGTATTTGGAGCTGTGTCTGGAAGTCCTAAAATAGGCAGTGGCTTTTGTTGATACAAGCAGTGCTTCTACTTTTCTGTAATGTATCATGCCATCTGTGAGAAGGCCGAGGAGCAGCAGTTTGAGTTAATATATTTTTTCCTTCTCTTTTTTTGAGAAGGGCATAGCAGTTTTGTTCACTGTTCTTCAGATGGGCAGTGGTTTTCACTCCTGAATCAGCCATATTGCGTGACTCAACTATAGTCTGTTTTGTTTTTAGAAAGGCACACAGCCATGGTTTAAAGACTTTAAGTTACGTGGAATGCACTTTGCTGTTTCATAGGTTTTCCCATTTGGAAACAGTGGCTGTAAAGCCCAACTATTTGTTTACTGGTCTGAAGTCTAATTTCTGGCCACTGGCTCTTGTTAGGTAACTCTCCGTTAAATGAAAGATCTGTCTCGTATCTGAAATCTACTTTCACGGTGGTATTAACAGGTCGTTACATAATGTAAGTAGATCTTGCATCCTTAGTTTCTCCCACAAAGCGCTGAAATGCTTTGCTAGCTCTGAATCCCTTCAGTTTTTAACACCCCTGCTGAAGCACGGATGTCAGAGCCGAGCCATAATAATAGCCTTGTGATGTGGAGTTCAGAAGTAATGCTGCCTCTACTCCTACTCAATACTCATCGGTTTCTATAAGGAAAACACTCAAACCTCTCTGCCGAGGCCTTTTGTTTCCCACTGCTCATGGGAAGGTTGGCTCATCTTTGTCAGCCAGTTACGATTTCATTACAGAGTCTGCTGTGCCTGTACATGTACAAACGCATACTGGGATACGTTGATTTATGTGGGGGAAGGGGTGGATGGACCAGCAAGTATTTAATCTGTGCATCGAGCCTTTATCTAGAAAGATACCTCTCCTTTTTATTAGAAAAAGTTCAGTTCAGAGGCGCAATAAATGAAAGAAATGCTACCGCTGAGGTCTGCACTGGAATTTTTCCATGTGTGCAGTCTGATGAAGGAAAACATCAAGAATGGAAAGTTGTATGGTGAAAATGTGTTGACTTAGGGACGGAAAGAACCAATAATTTGCTCTTGAACTCATTCCAAATTGAGTTTGTGTGGGGAGTGGAGTCGTTCGGGTCAGACTCCCAGGCTCTTCCGTTATCTGAAGACTGAATTAGATTCAGTGTTGTCAGGATTTCACACTACTGCATTTTATGACCTATTAAACTCGCTTGTGTGTTTTTGTGTGCATCTGAGAGAGAAGGCTTTTGACATTATCTGCTGGGATTATTATTCAGGTGGCTTTTGAGTGGAGTAGTTCGGGTCAGACTCCGTTATCTGAAGACTGAATTAGATTCAGTGTTGTCAGGATTTCACACTACTGCATTTTATGACCTATTACACTCGCTTGTGTGTTTTTGTGTGCATCTGAGAGAGAAGACTTTTGACATTATCTGCTGGGATTATTATTCAGGTGGCTTTTAACAAACTTCCTCATGTGTAAGTCCAGGATGAACAGTGTTGGAACAGAAGGGTATACGTGGTGCCAGTGTTTTCCAGGAGGGATAGCTTTCCTATGCAACAGGCCCTGAGCCTCAGCTAAACGTTTATAATTGCAAATGAACAATGGACCCTGTTATTCCTCAGATTAATTTGATTGACTGATATTATCCTGTACTGTAGCTTTTTGCTTCTCAGAAAGTTGAAAGGTATGCAAAGTCTGTGAAAAACAAAGTCATTCTTGTGGTAACGTTTCTTGCAGGGAGTCCGAGGCTTGTACAGAGGAATGGCAGCTCCTATTATCGGAGTGACACCCATGTTTGCTGTGTGCTTCTTCGGATTTGGCTTGGGAAAACGACTCCAACAGAGAAAACCTGATGACATTTTGACGTGAGTTTCTGCGTTAATCAGACAGTTGGGAAAGGCACCCTAAGGCTCTTGCAGGCTGCCGTATTGTGGCACATTGAGTTGTGGTGTAAATTTGTCTCTCCTCCTAGGTTATAAATATAATTCTAAAAAATAAAACACTGGTGTGTTTTAATGCTTCTGGAAGCGGGGGACTGCTAGCACAGGCTAAAAACAGACAGCATGTGGGCAGGTGCTTTGCAATTCCCTTTCTACGCAAGAGCGAGCCATTAAGGAACAAATCTGGTTTAGATGAGTACAGTGTGAGTTATACAATGATTGCCAACAGTCTCGCTATTAACAGAACCTGTAGGAGAAATACATCCGTGGTCAAGGTGTCTTGACAACGTTCACAGTCCTGACTCTCCCTTCCCTGTTGGTTGCGCCTCTTGCTGCGTCCTTGCGTTAGGATATAACAACAGCCACAGAAATGGTTTATTATTGAAGTCCGAAAAGCGGTGTTCATGAGCAGCTCTCTCAGGTGTGTCTGACCTTCTGATATGGGAAGTTAGGAAAAATCTGTGTGGCATTCTCCAAGTGAACTTATCCATGAGGAAAGCCCCCCACCCATAAAGTACTCTCTTAGCTTCTTTGTTGAATCGTGATTTATAGCTCTACAGGAAGAGAACCGTAGCTTAGCAACGTTTTATTCCATTATTTGCGTGATACCCAGGAGCTCTGTCAGAAAGCAGGAGGCCATTGTGTTGAGCCAGGCGTGCTGGGGTGGGGAGGTGCGGTGTCGGTTGGAGCTGTTCCTGTGCCGGGGCCTCCTGTGTGGCATTGGGTGCACCTGCTCTGCAGTGCTTGCCACTGCTGTGACACAGAGCCAGGGGTGCTGCTATCTTGCCCTCTGGTTTATTGTAGTAATACCCTCAAGCAGACAAGGGTAAAATCAGGGGAACAATAAGGAGTGGAGAATACAAGGCAACAAATGGGCTATGGGCTCATTTCCAGCAGTCTTAGCACACCAGTGCCTTGTGTTTTATACACATCTTACCAAAGGGAAGGTTTAAGGAGCGAGCTGGAGAAAGGCAACGTAATTTTTTGAGTCCTTATGTAGAACTCTTCCCAAGCGGAGCGGTGGGAGAGAAAAAACAAAGGTCAACAAATCGATGGCGCAACTGTCATTGTGCCAACGGCGCTGTACCTTAGGTGCAGACTTTACATGGTAAGATACAGTGTGCCTGGGATGTGAGGCCCAAAAAGAAAAGTCAGACCCCTAGCACCATGGTTATGGGTCTAGAGGCAGGCAGGATGGCAGTGGTTCCCCATGCTGATTTTGAAGGGAAGTTTTAGAAGAAAGGAGGTGGAGAGAAACATGAGCCTTTTCTGGGGCTGAAAAATCCCAAGGTGAGATAGAAAACTCAAAGCTTAGTTTGAATACAAGGAGCATGTGGGAGGTCTTAATGGTCTGGAAGATTTAAGGAGAAATTGAGAGTAAAGAAAGGTGTAAGAATTGGAAAACTTGAATGGAATGGCATCTCCTGGGCAAGTGGAGAGAAGTGGGAGGTGGGGGATTTAGTTAAATTGAGGTGTTAGGTCACCTTACTAGGGAAGGTAGCAGGAGGTTGGATGTAAAGATAAGTTTGTGATGGAGAAACTCAGCCTGTTTAAGGAATTTCTGTCATGGAGACTTTGCCACATGAAAGCAGCTGCAGGATGTGTGGGATGATGGCAGGTTGGTTGGACAGAGTTGATGGTGGCAGAGGCTGAAGGAGCGAGAGATTGAGAGGGTACAAGAGGAGGCTCAGGCAGGAATATGTGTGAAAGCTGGGGTCGCTGAGAGGAGAGCGGGAGACTGGAGGAGGAAGAGACTGTTGGCAATAAAAATTAATGGGGAGTGCTGCAGCAAAAGATCCAGGTACAAGGAATATTAGCAAATACAGTGGATGTGAAGAGCCGAGTTACGGTTGCTGTGGGAACCAGTGTTTTGAATCCTAGAGATCTTAATGTTTAGCTGTAATTACAAATTGATGGGGCACTTCTGCACCGATCAAAAGCAGTGGATGCACTTCTGGTTCTGTGCAGAACAGCACAATTTGGTGATACAGGGGTCTTTCTGCCCTTCATTTCCATTGTGCTGTGTTGTGTTAGGGTCTCTTCTGTTTCCTCGGGGCAGATATCCTCAGCTGTTTGCTGCTGGCATGTTGTCGGGAGTGTTCACCACAGCAATCATGGCTCCAGGAGAGAGAATCAAGTGCCTTTTACAGGTAAGACATTGGGTGGTGGTGATGGGAATTTAATTTGAGGGATCTCGTCTTTCCATAACAGGAACTCCTTTGGTTAGTGTATTTACTCTGTTCTGTTTTGACAGGGCTGAGACAACTGTCATTTAATGCAACTGTGTCACGAAGAAGCGTTTTACAAACTCACCATGACAGTACAAGTACAGGCAGCATTCATTGCTCTGTTCACTTTGCAGAGCACAAGCTTTATGCTGTGTGGCTTGGTATGAGGCATTGGTGAATGCCTCAGTCCACTTCAGAGTATGGAAAAGTCCAGTGTTTCAGAATGAAACTTTTCCTAAAAGAATACTAAACTACTCGATCTTAAGACTCCAGTGTAAAGAGTTTCTATTACCTTGACAGGTTCCCAACACGTAACTAAGGAATGCATTTCAAAAAACATGAAATAGTTTTCTCATGTTTGGGTGGCTGTTAGTTCTACACCCCCCCAGGGTTTTAAAAGTATCGTTGGAAAATGTAAACCTAAACAAATGAAAATGCCATCTTTGGCAGAGGTGGGAAGCTCTGCTTATCTCACACCATGCTGAACTCCGTTGGTATGGCCATGGATGGTCACGTTAGTTCTGACAGACACGATGTTATCGTGGGAGCTTTTATATACATACAAATTGTTTGAATTTCACCAAACCATTTGAAGGCTGCTTTTTGCCAGTGCGAGTGTAGAATTACCTAACCGACTTCAGTTGTTTCAGACTAACACTAGGGAAAAATAAGGGAGGATCTAGCCACTGCATGGAGCAGTGAACACGTCCTTAGCTCGAACAGCTGAGCGCTGTTTGAGGAAGTGACGCAGAGGTTTCACAGGCAGGAGTGTCTCTGGAACAAGATGTGCTTTTTCCTCTCTGGAAGTGCACACGCGGCTTTCTAACTATGAGCTGAATGATTGTTCTCCAGCCAGAAACCTTCAGCAGTCAGAAACTATCACTTTAATCCTTCAGATCCAGGCAGCTACAGGTGAAACTAAATACAGTGGCTCCTTGGACTGTGCAAAGCAGCTGTACCGCGAGGCTGGGATTCGTGGCGTGTACAAGGGGACAGTGCTCACCCTCATGAGAGGTAACTGATGGGAGACATTTCTAATGCTGCTTCTGCTTGGGGTTCTTGAAGATAAGATGCCTGACATAGCATCACAGATCTCGCTGTCCCTTCAGCCAATTGGAGATGCTGTGTCACCCTTTTCTTTTTTTGCGGTCTGAGAGCTACTCCAATGCCTCAGAGGGACTGAGAAATAAACATGGGAATCTCAGTGAGTGAGGAGGAGATTAGATGATGAGGATCAGAGGGATATAGGCAGTAATTAAGATCTGAAAAGCCAAGAGGAATGAGAAACTTCAGGAGAGGAGCAGAGAGGACAAAGAGAAAAGAAAAATACACAAGTGGGCTTCTAAATTTTTTTTAACGTATTTTTTTTCCCTGGTAGAAGGATTGTGACTGTGACTGTTGCTGCATAATGCTGCCAGCTTTAGAAGATGTGATGGCAGCAGTTATGATTTCTGCCCACTTGAGTGCGGGTTATTTTGGACTGGGATGTCATGACCCCTCTCACAACAACAACAACAAAGTAATTGTGCCACACACTGAATCCTTTGTGTGTTTTGGTACTTTCTCCTTTGAAAAGCTTTCGATTGTTCCCTGTACTGGGACAATGTTTTCCAAGGAAAGGTGAAATTTATGTATTTTGATATCTCAGTTTAGGAATTTGTTTTATCCTCTACTTACAGAAGTGTAGCAGTTAGCAATGTAACTCTGGCAGCATCCTTAGCCAGAAGCTGGTTCTCCAGTGGGGCTGTGGGGGTACCTTAAAAAACCCAAACCCAAAACCCATGAATGACAAAAAAAAAACCCAAAATAGAATCATTGGGACAAATAATGTGCAAAACTTGAAGTTTCTGAACTGCTCTGATGTGCTTTGCAGCAATTAAGAAAGCTTAGAGCTGTCTCATCATTAGTGTAATGGCCAGCAGGCAGGTTTCGGTCTGACTTGAAAGGCTGCTGACAGAAGTGCTCAAGAACAGAAATTTTCCCAGTTCTTGCCTTTAGCACCTGCTGTCCCTGGGAAGGTTCAGGCTCCTCCGTCTCGAGCAACAGCAGATTTGATTTTGTTTGCAGAGGAGGTTCAGAGAAGGAATCTGGATGTACTTAGCGGCACTGCTGAGCTGGCATGGGGCTGCTGTTCCTCTGGGCTGCATTTTGTTTCCCGCTACTCACAGCCTTTGTTTACCCACCAGACGTCCCCGCCAGCGGAATGTACTTCATGACGTACGAGTGGCTGAAGAACGTTCTGACCCCCCAGGGAAAGAAAAAAGAAGTCTCACAGTCATCGTTTTCTGGCCTTCCCAGACTTTGCTGATAAATCTCCCCAGTTATACACAGATTTAGAGCAGTATCCTCAAAACACACTTTTTAAAAGAGGTCACTTGTCTCAGGTTAACCGACAATTAAAATAATATTCTGAGTTTCTCTCAGATTGTAGCTTTGGATCATATTAGCCAAGTAAGGAACACTTACAGTAGATCTCTTTACTTTCACCCCTTTGTGTGCGCACAAATCACTGGGGGGTTTTACTGTTGAGGGTTTTTTTATGGTTAGTGTTTTTCTGGTTGGTTTGTGTTGTGGGATTTTTTGTTGGGGTTTTTTTGTTTGTGGTTTTTTTCCCCCCCCTGGAGTATTTGCGTGTGTGCTGCTGAATGAAAGGATTTGGACTTTTGGAGTGGAGTTAGTACGTTTTGCCCACAGGGCACTGATTCTTGGAAGTCTTGCTCGGATACCGCACTCTGTGTCTGCAGCACCGTGCTGCCTCCTGACTACCAGCCAGACTGCCTCTTTGATTGTCACCTCTATCAAAATGGATGAGATTTTAATTTTTTAAATTCTTTCTTTTTCCTCCCACCGCACCCCAATCCTGTCACAGTGTGAGTGACCTCAGTGCGCCCAGGATCCTCTTTGCTGGTGGCCTGGCTGGGATCTTCAACTGGGCAGTGGCCATCCCTCCAGACGTGCTGAAATCCCGTTTCCAGACAGGTGAGTCGTGTGCCAGCTTGTCACAGCCACGGTGCCACTGGGAATGGGCAGCGATGGAAGGTGCCATCTGAGCATGGCATCTGGGAAGCAGCATGTCTTGAGCACTACTTGAGACAAGTACATGGAAAAACCCAGGTGTGTTCCTAGCTTTTTAGTTGGTTTTTTCACAAATTTTTGGCAAATGAGGCTGCAATTCTCTGTTTCTGCCCCCCTGCTAATATAATGATCCTGATTTCCGAGAACCTGTTTTGAAACCCAACCGTAGAAGTCGTAATAATAGAACCGCTTGTCCTGGCTGTTTTATTACAGATGTAATTCTTTGAGAGGCTTTGCTATTTCACTTCTGATGTAGTTGTATAAATTGTAGCCTGTACTATCTGAAATTTATAGTAACCGTGTGTGCCTTGCCAAGAGCATTTCTTTTAGACTAGCAGATCTTCTCTTAAGTATCTGTGGCCTGGTTATAGCAAGGATGACCACAGGCCTTGGACTTCAGCAAAGTTTGACAGGTTTTTCCTTGGTTTTTTTTCTGTGAATCCTGGTCAATGAATGATTTTGTTAAGGCTCCTTGTATTCTCTGTCAGTGGACTCAGCTCTCCACGGGATGGACAGTAACCATTTTTCTTGAGTCATGGATCATGGTGATCTCGTACAGGAAACTTCTTTCTCTCTGCATATTGGCTGCTGTGGTTGTTTGCTATCATACCAAGGGCTGAGTGTGCAGTGCGTTACAACTTTGTGTCCTTGTTCCACTGAGGCAATCCCCAGTGCTGGTGTGTAGCTGGATGTGGCTGTTTAACTGGGTTGGTTTGTGGAGTAGTTGCTCAGAGGGCTGGCAGAGACACCTCAGCAAATCCGGGTAGCACCAGCATTAAAGCAGCCTGTGCTCTTCACTTGAAGTTTGTTGCTATTCTTGGCTGTGGCATGAGATAGGATCCTTTTCTGTTTCTTACAAACGAACTTCATCAATTTTTATATCTGACCTCCCTGTCTCCCAATTGCAGCTCTTGGGAGAGCTGTGATCAGCGGCACAAGTAACAGCTCAGACATCCAACCCTGACAAAAGTCATTCTCCTTTCTTCCCTGCCTGCAGTGACTTGAATAGGTAAATTCTCTGTGGTGACGGTGAGCCCCTACCTGCAGTTTACTGAGTCTTTATGAGGAGAGGCTGAGGGAACTGGGGTTGTTTAGCCTGGAGAAGAGAAGGCTGAGGGGAGACCTCATCACCACCTACAACTGCCTCAAGGGAGGTTGTAGAGAGGTGGGTGCTGGTCTCTTCTCCCAGGAGGTGGAGGATAGAACACGGGGAAACGGCACCAAGCTGTGCCAAGGGAGGTTCAGGTTAGAGCTAAGGAGGAAGTTCTTTACTGAGAGGGTCGTCAGAAGCTGGCACAGGCTGCCCAGGGAGGTGGTGGAGTCACCATCCCTGGATGGATTTAAAGAGCGGGTAGATGAGGTACTTAAGGATATGGTTTAGTGGGCAGACAGGAACGGTTGGACGTGATGATCTCAGAGGGCTTTTCCAACCAAGCGATTCTGTGATTCTGTGATTCTGTGTGATTGTGTGATTCTTTGGTAAGGTGGTTTTTTTTTTGTTTACTGGCTTTTGACTGAAATAGATAACTTTCCCAAGCAGATGTTTTCACAATGTAGCTTCAGCAATGCTTGGTTTCTGGTGCCACCTAGATGGTACAGCAATATGAACCTGTTGAAAGTCCTAGGCAGTTACATACACCACATTCTTCAGCATTTGTGACTGCCACAAATCTTAGCTAATGTGTTTTGTATCCCTTGCAGCTCCTGCAGGAAAATACCCAAATGGCTTTAGAGATGTGCTAAGAGAACTTATCAGAGAGGAAGGAGTCGCGTCTCTCTATAAAGGCTTCACAGCTGTAATGATCAGGGCATTTCCCGCTAATGCAGTAAGTAAATTGCAATTCCAGGTGGGTTTTGGAGACCTGGCTACTCACAGTGACTATTTGCAGTCTGTAGAGGAGACAACTGGCTGTTTACTGCTGTGCCATTTCAGTGAGAGTCTTGTCACTGCTGGTACTTCTGGCTGCTGATGTCCATGCTCTAAAAATGTGGCTAAATCTAGGGGAACACCAAGTAAGCCTCCCTTCAAAGCTTTTCCTGAAAGCCCTTAGTTCACTTATTCTGACAGTATTTCTTGTCTGATTGTACATCCACCAGTGGAGGGCAGAAACGGGGGGAGAAGTTTGGACTGGCTTCTCCTTCAACAAATAATGACCGAAGGGAGTAGAAGTTGTGCCTCTGTGTGGAGGGTGACTGGGCTTTTTGCCTCTGATCCAAGACACTGATTTTTTGTTCTCTTCCTCCTTCCACATCAGCTGTGTCAGGTGTTTATAGTGCTGCATTTCAAAACCCTTATCCTTACTTTTTCTGTATGTTCTCTCTTTTCCAGGCGTGTTTTCTTGGTTTTGAAGTTGCTATGAAGTTTCTTAACTGGGTTGCACCAGGTCTATGAAGATTAGGAAGTCTTTGGAAATTAGAGAGAAGAAGGAAGAGAGTGCGAGTCTGCCTCAAAGAAATAAATGACTGATCACTTGAAGTTTCAGGAATGATTGCTTGCCTAATACCTTTTTGCCTTCCTCACGTTCTTTAGGTGGTGCTATGTGCCATTCAGAAATGTAAGCCGTAGCTCTGAAACAGAGTTGATGAGGGGTTAGAGGTGCTACACCTGTCTTCTGAGCCAATGGACCACAGCAGTAATGCTGCTAACACAGCTGTCACTACTACACACGCTACCTTAGTACTTCCTCATGGAAGAAGGGGACACTTCTTATAATGTAATTCTTTATTGATTGAAGAAACGTGTACCTATTAATGCTGAAAAACCTCCTTAACATAATTGTTAGGCAGTATATACCGAACTCTCAGGGCACGAGTTAGCAGCTGCACATCCTAATGTCTACAGGCAATGCCAAATAGCATTCTCATCTGTTTTTAGTTGGGGCTGCTTCTATGTTGACTGGTTTTAATCTCACGTGCATATAATGCAGCAAACACAGAGCTCAGCGGGGAGGCCAGAGCTACGTTTCAGAGGGTTGAGGTGTTTTACAGAGAGCCTTGGATCTTATGCACTGATCTTTTCTGTGGAAATGGGAGGAAAAATGAATTATGCTTAACATTTGTACTAAGCTTTACTGAGGCAGTCAGGGGGGAAATGTTTCATTAACCTGAACTTTTCTCTGAAATCCCCTTCTGCCCCACTGAAGATAACCCAAATGTGATTTCAAAAGTACAGCAACCCATGATATATTTGATTCATCAGATGCTGTGTCCTGGGATTCAGTTGCTGACATTGACCTGGGAAAATTTAACAGCACTTCCGAGAACTCAATTTCTCTGACATGAGGGGAATACGTGAAGGGGACACTGGCTCTGCAGTCTTGTCTAACGTTAGTCTTGCTCCTATTCCTTGGTTTTCTCTTAATATTAAACATAATCACATTTTCATTTGGAAAATGACTAATGCTAAGAAGCAAAAAGCAACTTTAATTTCTTTTGGTTTCGATGCAATGTTATTGGAACTCAATAAAGCGAGCTGCTGCTTGGCTAGGATGTGTGCTTCGGTTCGTTTACTCTTCTGCATGGTCGTGCATGGTTGGTTTTGCAAGAGTTTTCTAATACTTAACTCTGAGACTTGATTGGGAATTAAGTTGTGCTGTGCTGTCTTTAATTGTTAACCCCTCACCTTTTAGCTTTCGGATTTCCACATGTGCCGTGGAGATGAATGTTCTGCACTTTCACATGTTTGTCATACAAAAGTCCCGTTAGGTGCCGTGTTGTGGCTGCAGCTGTTTAGCTGTAAAGCCAGAAACCAAATAACACATTTTGCCTGTGGAAAGTATTTTATGTTTTCCAGGGAGAGGCTCCAACACAGAGGGGAGCTTGGGGAAAATCCTGATGCCCCATAACAAAGGAGACAGAGTTTTTCCTGGGTCTGGCACGGTCTGTTGGACTTTGCCGTTAGGGAGAAATCTTCACCTTGGCTTTCCACAGGCAGGGCCAGAGGCTGCATAAGCCTTGAATCCCACTTTCCTTCCCAGTTCTTTGGAAGGACCAGAAGGGAACCTGCCTTCCCCAGAGCCCACTGCTCGTGTTTTACAGGTTGGGGGTGTGAAACCAATAAGGTAGCCCCTGGTGTGGGAAGATCTCAGTTGCTTGGCTCTGTCTCCATGTTCTTGCTGCCCCCTTCCCTGATCCTTGCCGCTTGGTAAGTGACGGCTGCTGCTGCTGCTGCTTGTCAAAGTCCCTGCAGTGATGGACAAGTGAAATACTAAAGCATGAACACTGAGTTAATAGGAGTTCAGAGAAGTGGCTGAAGGACATTGATCTCTCAATGGTTTTAAATGCAGTTCTAGGTTTACTGAGGCTAAATCCACCCTAGTTTCAAGAGGACTAGGTCTGCTTTTGTGAGACTCCGCTTCCTGACCACCAAATGCTATCCCGCACTGCTTTGTTTCCCTGGCTGCTCTGGCCACCTTTCTGACTCCTGTCTTGGGCTGTGATGCCTTGAAGCAACTTCCAGCTTTAAGAAGTGTTACAAAGCTGATTTTTTTCCTTCCCTTTTACTTACATGTTCCAGAAATACTAACACTTCTTGGGAGGAACAGATGTGCATCTTCTCTTAAAATTCCAGACACTGATGCTTAATGCTGCCCTGTCAGATATCTCACAGGAAGGCAGCAAGAGCTGAAAGCACTGTATTAGGTTGGTTCGTGGTGCAGTTGCCCAGCAGATGGCTGTCTGGGGCTGTCAGCACGATGGACAAACCGGGTCCAAAGGGAAGACCAGCAGCAGGGAAGCCAGCGCAGCTGCTGGCCACTGCATCCGTCTGTGGCAGCTGCAGCTTTCCGAGTTGGGCTGGAGAAGTTGTGGGTCTCTGTCAGGACAGAGCGGCAGCTGGAAGGGGGGAGCCCCTTCTGGACATCTGTGCTGCTGAGGAGCACTGTCATCCTCCGTGCCTGGTGCCAAGCTGTGGTCAGTGCTCCCTCTTGTCCTGGTCTAATGAGTCTGGAGTGCTGCAGGCTGCAAAAACCACTGAATTCTTGGAAACCAAACCGGAGGCAAGCAATGCCCTGGCTTCAGCAGCTGAGGATAAGAGCATGGCTCCTCCATGAGGGCATCAAGGAGCCTTCTTCTCGGTCTGGCCTCTTGCTTGATGCCCCAGCACCTTGGCTGTGCTGTCACCACCTCTGTCTGCGGCCTTAGGCTGCATCTGCTCTGAAAGACTGAGGTTCCATACACTCTGCAACACTTGAGCTGTTACTCGTAACTGTAAACTACCTCCTGCCAAACTCTCCTTTTTTATAGGTTGGGTTTTTTTTAAAGCATTTCAGATCCTTTTTCCAATTTAATTTATCCCAATTATATCCTCCCTAATCTGAAGCTTTTGCGGAGCTTTGCACTGTGCATGATAAAATTCTGCCTGTTTGTCACGCCTGATTTCATTCGGTGCTTTTAAATAAGCAAAATGTGGAGGAAGGAAATCAGGAATGAGGGGCTGCTTTCCAAAAACAGTGGTGGGAGGAGAGGAGCTTTGGGAATGCTGATCAGACACATCTGCTTGTTCAAAAACTGAAACCCAGGCACCCTGGAAATATTTAAAAAGCTGCTCACATCTCTCAAAATTTGCCAAATCCTTGCCCCCTGATGTGTGCAGCCTCAGGGCAAGAGAGGGATTTTAACATTGGTACAGTTTCCTGCACACTGAGGGCTCGCTCTCGCTTTCAGAAGCCCAGATTTGCATTCAAATGTTATTTTCTAGTTGCCCAGCTTCTTGTGGGCATCGAGGTAGCAGATACAAGGTTAGTGGTGCACAGCAGCAGGAGGTAAGCTGGGTCTCCGTACCAGCAAAGGAGATATCGATGACATTTGTCTTTACACTCCTTGTGCTGGTAGTGTATGTTTTTGCTGTATCAAAATCAGCCTAAAGTTCCACAAAATCCTTGTGCTGTGCATCTGCCTGGCCCATCCTGCTTTGATGCAAGGGATTTTTCCAGTGGTGATTCAGTGCCTGGAAGTATTCCAGAAGTAATCCATGGTACATTGATCTTCCATGCCTGCATTTCAGATCTTCCACGCTTGCATTTCCCTGCCTGCTGAGTGCAAAGTGGCATTTGTGTACACTCAGCGTTGCCGTATTGACAGCAAGGTCCTTGGAATACCCCTGGCAAGCCAGTCTTGATCAAATTTGAGTAATTAAAGGAAGCTGCCTGTGGGAGCATTACTACAGACTCTCCAGTTCGGAAAGGATGTTGCATGGTAGATCTTACAGATGGTGAGTCATGTGAAGAAGGTGCATTTACTCGTATTTCTAACAGTACCAGACACACAGGGTGTCCGGTGAGGCTATTAAGCAATATTTAAAATTAAAATACTTTTTATATATTAAGTACAATTAAGCTACATAGGTCATTGCCACAGAATGCGAAGTGCTTTAAAAAAAAAATCAGGGAAGAACGGTTCACCAAGAACTACTGAAAACTGATATGGCTACAAAATCTTGCACAAGAAGTTCCCGAATTGCAGGTTGATAGGAACTGAGAGACTGCTGGGGAAGTCGCACCGGGTGCTTTATTTCTTGTGTTCTTTCTCTAAGCACCTGCTTGCAGCCCCTGGGCAGGAACACACCCCACACACGCAGCGTGGGATGGTTCTCAGCACGATGCTGTTTCCAGCCCTAATGTGTGACCCTGCTGCGTGCTTGTACAGGCCACAGACAAAACCGCCTGCTGGGCCGGTGGCACGAAGCCATGCACACTGCGGCACCCTGCTGTGCCATTGGATGTGCTCTGGACCCAAGGGCTTCAATTGCTGCTTGTCTGGGCCTGTTTGGAAATAGGCCCTGGCAGCTGTTTGCTGGGGACTTTTGCTTCTGACCCAGAGGATGGCAGGGAGACGGGGGCTTCCCGCAGGGAAGGGCTGAACTTCCTGCCTCTTGCCCACTCTCCGGATGCATTTCGGATGATTCAACGGCGTGCGGCTGTGCTCATTCATCCCATCGGGCTGACGGCCTGCTCAGCAGCCGTGGATGTGACCCTGGTTTACGCCACGCTTTGTTTTTCTGTTCAGCAGCCCTGCTCTGAGAAAGCCGTGCGGTGAAGGAGAGGGAAGGGGCTGCCTGATGCTGGGCACCTGCAATGGAAAATAATTTCTAATTCAGGGAGATTTGTGTATAAAATTGAGGACGTTTTCCGTTACGTCAATGTGTTAGAATAGTTCTGCAAGTGTATCTCAAACCTGGTAAAAATGTAAACCTTAAGCAGAGTTTGGACAGGATTTTTACTACCATATGTCTGAATCCAGACACTTTAAGCTCAGACAGTTCAGTTATTCAGTTCAGACTGTTCAGTTTAAGCAGTTTACAACACACAGGTTCTCCCCGGGCTATAAAGATCAGTATCGAGGTTACAGCACTAGGCTATAGATAAGCTTCACTTCCCTTTGCAGGCGACGGTT